TAACTATACTGATGTCAAACAAGACTGATGACAAGTCATTATGGCAATCATTTTATAAGGCACATTAGTATGCACAAAAACTCATAGCACAGGTAACTGAATTGTGAAAATCTAGTTTTATGAAAGTTACGATAACACTGAAAGTATTAATTATTTTTAGGTGGCATAGGCTGCAATCATATGTCCTCTGACTTATTAGATCTGTCTTCAGATATATTGGATCATTTTTTTGTCATAACTTCATTGACAACAGTTTTTCAATATTTGAAAAACTTGATTGAGACAGGAGAAAGGGAAAAAATGTTTCCAGTTATGGATTCAATAATACAGAAGAGCAGAATAGTAATTTCCCATTTCTACCATTCTACAACAAATATTTTGGGGTGTATTGGATCATTTTTTTGTCATAACTTCATTGACAACAGTTTTTCAATATTTGAAAAACTTGATTGAGACAGGAGAAAGGGAAAAAATGTTTCCAGTTATGGATTCAATAATACAGAAGAGCAGAATAGTAATTTCCCATTTCTACCATTCTACAACAAATATTTTGGGGTGTACTGCCTATGAAATTGGAAATAATATACATCATCAGAAGTACTGATAGAATTATTCTGTCAACTTTCCATCAATATCCTAGTCAAGCAATCTAAATACACAAAGTGGTTGACTTGGAAGCACGCTTAGAAATATGTTCAGTTCCCTGAAAAACTGCACTTGAAATATTATTGAAATACCTCTTAATTCATAGTATATATACCTTGTGAAAATTTATATTTTCCAGAAAACGTTTAACTTAAACTTTCTGCTTCCATTAGTCGGCCAGTACTAGCATTTTATGAATTCTGTTATTTCAGAACTAAGCTATAGGTGTGCAGTAATTTCCAGTAAAGTGTTGAAGCTAGAACTAAAAACTTACATCTTATTATTCATAGGAGAATATAGATTTATTAAGTTTAAAAGAGGCTGGTCTAAATTCTAATTTTAAATGTTTTCTTCATATTATCCCATTCAGACTATGCATTTGAATATTGAAAAGTGTGATTGTGCCAACTGACCCTTTCCCCAAACCCCAGGCTACTCTTCATTCTACTGCTGATTTAAGAGTTGTCAATACAATAAGCTCTGATGAGTCAAATGCTGTAATTATGTATTTGCAATATGATGTCTAATCCAAGTATGTTAGTTGCAGCATTGCACTGTCATTACACATGTGTCATCATGTGCCCCCCCCCCCCAATTGTGGGTTGAATCTTCTGATTACCAAGGTGATGGATGGGATATATAAACAATGCAATAATTGGTACAAAACCCAGCAGCTGCTATTTTCAGTGTTGCAGTAAACCATTGGTTATTGGTTACTGAGTTATGAAAGTGCAGTGCAGCTTAAAAAACATTAGTTTTTGCCAGATACAGAGACATCAGTCTGAGCAGTACTCTTTTTTGTCACTATCAGCATGGGTGGCAGTAATTCATATAAAGTCTTCCATAACCAATTCTTTGATTGTCCTAACAGTTGCAAGTTCATTGATCCACATTGTTCTTTCTCTGTTTTCAACTGTTTGTTGAAACCTTTGTCTGGCCAAGGGTTGCATTTTGTAATTTTTTTGTACAATCAAGAGCTGCACTGGGAGGGGGCTATGAAACCAAGTGGTGGGCTTTGGGGAATTTTTTTTAAAAAAAACAGAAAAATGTTTAAACTATATAATAAACTGGACTCTTTCAGCACTATAATGTTCTTAATAAGTGGACTTCTCCCAGACAAATAATGATTTGCTGCCAAGTTTCATCAGTGTACTTATATTTTCTCACTGTACTTTGAAAACATATTGTTGATTTCTCTGCCAATATCAAAAGTGGCATGCTTCCATTCCAGTTGCAGCTGTAGGACTCTTTTCAGCACAGTGCTCAAAAAGAAAATAAGCCAGCATAATCAGGGTGGCAATTATGAATAAAATGTGTCCCTTTTTTATGTTGTGGCCCTTTGAAACAGCCATAACTAGGTGTAAGGAGAAAGAATCAGCTCCACAAGGAAATCATTTCTTGCTGGCAAATGGGATTTCTTTCAGTAAGCTTTGCACTGTTTTCAAGAACGTGCCAATGTGTTTTATTAGGAAGCCTGAAAGAGATGTGGGTGCTTTTGATTTTCCTTTCCTTTCCTTTCCTTTCCTTTCCTTTCCTTTCCTTTCCTTTCCTTTCCTTTCCTCCCCTTCCCCTTCCCTTCCTCCTCCTCCTC